GTGTCTTAATCAAATACTTAGTCTAGTGTTTCTGTTTTTTGGCAGTGTCTCACTATGAGGTTCAGGCTGGCCTTTTTTTTTTTTTTGGTACTAGGAATTGAACTCAGGACCTCATGCTTACCAGGCAGGCAGGACACCACTGAGCTAGATTCCTGGCCCCAGCCTGGACTCTCCTCATCCAGTTTGCTTTTGTCTGTAAAGTGAGGGTGCATGCACCCCGTAGGGAACAAGATAATTCTTTGGTGTATAAAAAGAAAACATGAGCATTCCTAAAAGTGCTTTTAACATTACTTAATATCCTTTAAATTTTTTGTGTCAATTTAATGCATAAAAGTACAGTTTTGTTTAATTTCTAGATAGAGGAGCAGGGTAATGCAAGCAGCCAGTGTCCTGGGGTCAGAGAAGCTGTTGCTACTTCTGGGTTGGTTGGTTCCAAAGCAGTGTTCAGTTTGGCCTTGATGGATGAGCTTTAGCATTCAAGGAAAAGGATGTGGAGCAGCAGGTTTGTTCTTTTTCTCTGTTGATTTAGCATAATCCATGAGCTCAAGTGGCCTTCTCTTAGCTCTTTCATCCTTCTCTTTTCCAGCCTGCAATGTCATTTAGGACATTTCCGAATTCTTCTCTTAGGAGGGCTTGTGGCATGTCTGGGTCCAGTCAGACAATAGAAAGTGCCCTGTTCAAACAAGTTAATATAAAGAATTAGCATCTGTCTACCTGCATACCGATGTTTATTTCCAGATAGCTCACAAAAGTTGAGATATGGGAGCAGCCTAAGTGCCCATCAGTTGATGAATGGCTAAAGAAAACATGGTGTGTACACAGTGGCATGTTATTGAGCCATAAACTTTTTTTTTGTACCAGGAATTGAACTCAGGACCTTGTGCATGCAGGCAGGCGCTTGTGCCACTGAGTGATATCCCCAGCCCTTATTTAGCCATAAAGAAGGATGAAATTATGTCATGTGTAGGAAAATGGATGGAACTAGAGATCACCACATTAAACAAAATAAGAAAGACCTAGAAAGATAAATAAATAACCTTTTCCCTGATATGTAGAATTAAAAAAAAAAAAAAAAAGCTGGGCATGGTGGCGCACACCTTTAATCCCAGTACCCAGGAGGCTGAGGCAGGAGGATCATTGCAAGTTCTAGACCAGCCTGGGCTACAGAGTGAGCTCAAGTCCAGCCTGAACTGCATAGTGAGACCCTGTCTCAAAAAGACAAAAAAAAAAAAAAAAAAAGCAAACAAGGTGTGGTGGTGCATGCCTGAATCCCAGTACTCAGGAAGTGGAAGCAAGAGGACTCCTAAGAGTTTGAGACTGGCCTGGACTATATAATCAAACCCTGTGTCAAAAAACAGATAAAGCAGGTGCGTTTTGACTCGAGGTGCAAGACCACCCCTTAGTAGGCTCGCAGAGCCGTGTCGCCTCTGTGCTCACTCTGTAGGTCCTGCTGTCTTGACGAGGTTGGTCCATACACTCAGCATCCGCCAGCTCCCTCTCCTGCATCCCTGCAACCTCTGCGGCAAAGATGGGTTCATGATCACCTCCACCACAGCCCGTGTGTGGGTCCTGTGCGTGCCGCTAGTGGCCAGCAGGCACAGAATCAGGAGGCCCACGATCCACTCATACCACGGTTCGCAGCTAAACACCGTGAGAGCAAAG